GAGCTAAACATTATGTTTGCCATCAATGAGGTTGTATATTTCAAAGTAACTAAAAGAATGGAATAAGAATGTTCCTAATAAACAGAAAGGATAAATGCTTGAGATGATGGAAATCCCAATTACCCTGATTTGATCATGATACATTGGATGCTCTTATCAAAATATTATAGGTACTCGGTAAATATGTATGACTATTATGCATCTATAATAATATAAAATTTGAAAATTAAAAAACCCTAAAAACCAAAATTTTATCTCAAGCTGTGATCTTTTCTCCAAGAGTTGGCTCTTCCAGCTTCCTACTGAACAGCTCTACTTGGATGTATAGTATCTCAAACTTAGCTGCCCAAAACCGAACTCTTCATCTCCACTCCACTCACAGCTGTTCCCCCAATTTAGCTACAAGGACTACCATGCACTTATTTATTTATTTATTTTTTTTGAGACTCACCAAGTCGCCCTTGCTGTGGGGGTCACAGCTCATAGCAACCTCTTTTGGGCTCAAGCCATTCTTTTGCCTCAGCCTCCCAAGTAGCAGGGACGACAGGTGCCTGCCACAATGCCCGGCTATTTATTTTGGTTGCAGTTGTTATTGTTATAGCTGGCCCGGCTGGGTTTGAACCCACCAGCCTGGGTGTATGTGGCTGGCGCCCTACCACTGAGCTAGGGGTGCTGCCCCACCATGCACTTATTTACTCAGGCGCTAAGAGTCATGCTTCACCCATCTCTTTTCCTTATTCTTCACAACCAATCCATTTGGCAATTCCTGTCAGCCGTAACTTTAGATTTTATTAGTCTGACCACCCCTCTCATCACCTTCATGGTTTTCATTAGCGTCCTACGCACCATTGTCCTTTGCCCCCGCTACTAGTCAGCAGCCTTCTACTTTGTCTTTTCTGCTTTCATTCTTGCTTTTCTACAACCCCCTCTAGCAGCAAGAAGGTCTTTCCTTTTTCTTTTTACTTTTTGGTTGTTCTTAGGAGGTCTTTTCAAAATATAGATCAGTTTATGTCATTCCAATGCTTAACACTCTTTATTGGCTCATTCTGTTAGACTAAAATCCAAATACTTTACTATGGTTTGTAATTTGGCTTCTTCTGATAGATACTACTTTTTTTCGGGGTGGGGGGCATGGTCTCACACTGTTGTTGGGGTTAGAGCTCAGTGGTGTTAACCTAGCTCACTGCGACCACAAACTCCTGGGGTCAAGCGATCCTCCGACATCAGCCTCCCTAGTAGCTGGAACTACAGGCATGTCTATTTCATGTAGCAACATGAGATGTCAACAAAATAAGAGGGAACAGCCCTTCCCATC